GTGATTTAAGAAAATATTTTTGTACAAATTCATAAGATGCTATTTCTATCACAATTCTGTCCCTATTTCCCCATTCAAAAAGCCAGTCTCCCCCACCCTCCCCCCCCCCCCCTCCCCATCGCCCTCCCCCTCCCACAAGAGACTTGATCCTAGACTCCAAAAAATGGTGCAATCACCGTAATTTATCTGCTTCATTTGGACAAAGCTAACTCATAAAAAGCAATAACAGTAATTCTTCCAAAATATGAGAACCTGCCCCCAACAACCAGCCAACAGATGCACACACACGCACAGGCACATGCACATACACACAGAAAAAGAGAGAGAGAGAGAGAGACCTTCGAAGGGGTCGGCAATTCTCGATCTTTTCCCAAGAAATCTGCAGATTCGCAGACGGGCCCAACCACGTCAAAGGTAGAAACTTCAGTATCAGGTGCTGGAGGAGAAACAAGCTCTATGTGCTGAAATTATATATAAACAATAAGGTAGAACAATCAGTTGTCAATCAAGATGATAAAGATATCAATGAAGTAAAGCAATAAAAGTCTCAAACAGAAACAGTTAATCTGAAGTCTTCAAACTAACAACATTTGTAACTGCCATTAATGACAAGCAAACTCAGTTATGGCAAGCACAAAAGCAAAGTCCTTTTTTTCTCTGGTCAATTTTCTCACAACCTCTTTAATGGGTATGACCATCAACATCATGTGGAAAATGAGAAATCTGTGTTATCAGGACTTTTGTCGGTTCGGAAAACTACTGGCAACTGAAAATAGGCTACCCCATATCAAATTATCATCATCATTATATGCAATTTTTTCCATTTTCTTTTTAAAAATTAAAAAACAACCATATCATTAAACTAATGTCTTACCTAGGAACATATCAACCACATGTTTTTTGATAAAAATTTTAAAAAATGCAGAATATATTGTTTTTTTTTTTTTTATCTTGAACTAAAAGTATCTGATGTCTCCTAAGAGACAATGCAGAATATATTGTACCAACCAAATTCCTTTTACAGTTAATAAGCTATAATACGCAATTTGGAAGAAAAAAAGTTACAATACAAATTGTAGTGAAATCTTATTAATGGATTGTTAAGACACATTTTTGTCTTGAAAAATTAATGATCCATGTACTTATCAAAGAAAAAATAAAAATAAAAATAAAAATAAAAATATTGGATCCTTGTGTGATATGAGGAAGCCTGTAGATACTTATTCGTGTAATAAGAAGTCCCACACAGTTATACTCAAAAGTCTTTGAAGACATCCAAAATAAAGCACAGATGCAATATCTATAACAGAAAAGGACAGAAAGCGGGCCTGGAAAGTTTCCGAAAAGCTTGAATTTTTTGCTAAGATATTGAGAAATTCTATTGATTTTACCATTTAAACAAATTTAGTATAAAGCAGCATATATCCATGTGCACACCATTACACCCAGGAATTTGGCTCCAATTGAGATTGGATTATAATCAGTTGAAAGGGGCCAAAATTGGAACCACAATTTTCAATATGTTGCTATTTACTATCTACAAAAATTTTAATTAAAATATCAATAAAAAAATTAGCCAAAAATTCCCATAATGAGTCCAGTTGTGCACCACCCAGCACCCAGTTTCTAAGAGGGAGGTCAAGCAAAAGATTCAAACTCCTAAACTTAAAGCATGTCCCTATTACAAATCATGTTAGCTGACCTACTTCCCCCCCAACCACCCACCAAAATAAATAAATACGTGAGCAAAATTTTGTCACAAATCGAATCTCCTGTTTCCACAACCTGATCATTTTGAGATGGAAACATATAGAAATTGCCAATAACCAAGGGTATGATTCCAGGGAGCCAGGAATAAAGGATGCCCCCAAATAACAAGATGCAAGACTTCATAGGAGAAGTAGCAGAATTACTTAAACCCCTCCCAAGGCATGGAAACTCAGAGGTTTATAACCTCATCCATTCTAATGAACTCACTCCAAGCACAACAATTTAAGATCTTTAACATAGCATACACAATGCAATCATTCATTGAAAGTGATACGGTACTATAATCACATGGATTACAGTACAATTGTAGTCCATGGGAATTATCACATTCCAATAACATGGTCATTGAAAATTGCTAGCACATAAGAGCAAAGATTATTTTGGGTAAGAAAATTACTTGATAAGCCCCATAGAGACTAGGCCTGATAAGTTCTGCCATGCTTCCGTCTATCACAATGAAATTTTTGGTTCCATTTGTTTTAACACCAGTGATCCGGTTGACCAGACAGCAGGTATTTGCAATGAGAGATCTTCCAGGCTCGATAATAAGATTAAGACCTCGGGAAAGGACCAGCTCTCGTACCTAGGAACCAAAACATCTGGTTTCAACAATTTTGCCTAAAATTTGGAAACAAGATGAGGAAAATAAATACGAACTCAACAAATATTCATGTGTCTTCATATGCTTTTGTTGAGCATCTATGTGGAACCTTTTTCTTAAGAGGAAAATTTTCTGTAAATTCACAAGCTGTGGCAAGTTCCAGAGGCAGCTTGCCAGGCCCCAAAAAAGAGGTAAAAAATACAAAAAAATGTTAAGAAATATGTTTGTCAGATTATTTTGATGGGTTGTAAGATGATTTGGGAACATTTCCTATCACATGATCCAATTTTTTATTTCCTTTTTCTTTTCTGTTTCCTGAAATGTTCATGATATAAATCAAATTTTTAGACAATTTTTATTTCCTTTTTCTTTTCTTTTTCCTGAAATATTCGTGATATAAATCAAATTTTAAGACCATCTATATTTTATAGTTTTTTTTCATCTTCTATAGTCTTTAGTGATTCCTATCACTTATTTTATTTTTGCCGATTTTTTAAATATTTTTTAACAAATTCCTCACCCTTCTTTTTGTTTTTCTTCTTTTTATATTTGTGGTGAGCGGGACTCAGGCGAGTCTACTCAAACTCACCCAAGTAACTAGCCTCGGGCCAGTGGTGATCGGTGAGTATCTGGCCCAAGGCAATTCAAAAACATCGTATACAAGCATCACGAATCTACATTTTGGTGAATATCTAATGTAAATTCCAGTGGGCTTCAGAGAGTAAGTTGAGGTTCTCACAACATCTTTAAGAATCAATCATTCTATCGAATGTGATTCTTCTTCCTGTTCTCTCGAAATGAACAAAGCATCTTGAGGCTCCAGCCTAATGTCTAACCTCTATATTTACCTCAGAAGATTAAGCCTCCTAAAATAACTTTTTCCAAAATGAGTCATATCTTTCTAGTAAAAGCAAATATATCCCAACCTTTCCAAGAATCATCAAAAGCAACTGTTTTGCTCTCCATATGATTAACATGCCTTTATATAAAGTTGATTTATAGCTTTTAGAATATCAGTTAGTTCTTTAAAAATGTGATATCAATGCACTGCTGAAAATTGGACAACATGAACCTATTTTTGAACTCCGAATTATTTCACTATTAGAGTCACAATTAATTTCTATTAGTTGTCTGAACTTCCTTAATACGTTTCATTCAGTTTTCTTTTGCTATTTTCCAATGCATCATTTCTTTAATTACTTTCCTCACTTAATTTATTTTGCTTTTTAGAGTACATTATTTTTTTATAGTTTTCTCTTTTCATTCTTTTCTGGATAATTCTTATGACTGTTTATTGGTTCATCCACTATGGTCTGAAATAGTATAAATTGCCTATATTTACAGTAGAGAAGCTATAAGAATCCAATGGCAAGGAAAAGAGAAAACGCCACTGGGCAGAATGAGTAAACTTACAGTGTTGATGAGATCCATAGGAGTTGGAAGGACAGCACCTGTATGATGGTAATCAATTCCCAAACCACCTCCAATGTTCAAGTAACTAATTTCAAAGCCCTGAGCCCGAATTTCATCAATGTAATTCACCATAAGAAGCGCAGCATCCCTGAAAATGTCCACCTAGAAAACCACGACCTCTCTGAATTGCCTTTCAAATTACTGACAAAAAAACTATTCGAATTACAATTGCAAGTTTTGTAAATTTTTGGGCAAGAATTTCTAGAGTCAGGAAGTATATTGTGATAATTGTTACTGCACAGACCACAGGGTTTCTTCCAGTCTGAAACTGAGGCCCAAAATTTTCTTTTAAGGCATTAAAACTTTGAAAAATTGTCACACATTTGATGTTCCTTCCCTCACTCTCTATGGAACATCCAAGAGATGATAGGAACCATGTGCATATAAAGTAAGTGAGATCAAAATTACACAGGCACCAGTTAGTGACAACCTTAGTAATTGTTGATCCAAGATGGCAATGGGCCCCCACCAGCTTCAGCTCATTGGGATGCGACTTCGCAGCATCTAAAAACCATTGGAGCTTCTCATTTCTAATACCAAATTTGGAATTTTTGTTTCCAGTAGCAACATAGGGATGGACCTACAAAATACAAGAATAATATTTCATCAAGGACATATTTCTCCAAAAAATATTTCCTCGTGGACAATCATCTATGTCTTATGATAAAAGCCAAAAGTTAATCAGTTCCACAGTAAGAAACCCAATCCTTTTAAAACTCTCCAAATGTTGAAGGCATTCCTTGTATTCATCAAGATAAATCAGTGCCCATTCTCTCTCTCTCTCTCTCTCTCTCTCGATATATATATATATATATATATACACACACACACACACATGCATACTTATGTATGATGCTTCATACCTGAGGATCCACATCAGGGTTGATACGAAGCAAAACTGGGACCCTTTTCCCTGCAATTCTTGCGGCAGTTACAATGTTTTCCAAGTCGAATTCACTATCAACATTCACAAAAACGCCTTTCTCAGCTGCCAAAACCAAGTCTTCTAAGAGTTTTCCATTCCCGTTGAATACACACCTGAGCTACCCAAATTTAGTGCAAGCTCAGTATTCGCAAGTAGCATTTCGATGGTGAATAAACTAATAAAAGATGAGAAAGACTAGAAATTTTCAAAAATACATAGAAACTAGGGAAAAACCTAGTCACCAGATGATCAATATTTCCTTTATTAGGAAACCCAATGAGCCATGACAGCACATAAATTATGTATAAATACATTCAGAACACACACACATACATATATACAGACACGCACACACAAATACCTACTTACCTACATACATGAATGCATGCATGCATGACATACCTGCATGATGGGGATCTAGCAACATATGTATCTTTGTATCAGACAGCAGTCAAAAGAGAAAAGATAACCATAAATTGCAATATTGTGGGAAGAATTAGGAACAATAACAGACGCTTTGCAATTCAAACAAGGAACCCTCCATCTAAGACCATGGTATAATATGATGGATCATCAGAATACTAAAGGCTGTCTGTGAAGAAACTGTGAGCATACTACTGTTATCTATAAGTAAGTAATCGAACATCATAAAAACATGATAGAAACAGGGATGTATGAGAATAATCAATTCCTTTCCATCAGCACCCACAAAAGGAATAAAAGGAAAAAAAAAAAAAGCAGAGAACAAGAAATTAGTTGGGAGAAAGATTAAAATGTACCAATGGTATAAGACGTATGCACCAATCACCATTTTATTCCCTTGACGGTCTAGACCAATACAAAACAGCCCAAGGAACTGGTCACAGTAAGAAACATAATCAATACTGATTCTTGGATCAAAACATAGAGACTATATTGGAGTTGGTCCATGAACTAAGGAAAACAGCATTAAGGTAACCCCATGACACTTCGCTACTGCTCCTCGATCAGAAGAGGAAAAAAAAAATTAAACCTATGGAAATGCTGAAAAAACAGATTCAAATGCAAGGAAATGGAAAACAATGGTAATATAAGACAAATTGGCACCACATTTTGGATTTCAATACTAGTACAAAAAATCCCTTTTGAAATGGATACCAAATGCATACCCTATCTATAATACCACTTAAAAAGAAAAGAGAGGTGCCCAACTGTAATGCTGAGGGGTGAAAAATTGGCCATTCCACCGCGACCTTGAAAGACAACTCATGCCTAATAAACATATTAAGTATGAACTGCAAAGGAAACATGTAAATGAGCACACTTCATCACTTCCTTTACCATTCTAAAGGAAATAACAAATGGGCCCTGGTTTCTTACTAAACTATTTGTGAGTTCTACGTGGAGCTAAATACTATGAATTGAATACTGAATCCTAATGTGTACACATAGTGAGCGCACATAAAATGAATAAGTAAATAGATAGATGTGATTTAGCATCCAAAATCTATAAAAACTTGAAATGAATTCATATAACTCCAGAAAAATCCAAATATCACAAACGCAGGCAAAGATAAAGACTGATAAAAAATTTAAAACAAAAAATAACACTATAATAGAACTAGCAGAAACATAGAAGTGAAGAGAGAGAAAGCCTTCCTCTAAAACAGAAAGAGAGAAAGAAAGGTAGGAAGAATGTATAGAGAGAACGAGAGAATTTACTTAGTTGGATCAAACCCAGCATGAAGAGCCAATTTCAACTCATTCCCACTAACAAGAACAGCACCACAACCCAATCCTCTAAGATGCTCCAAAATCTTCAAATTATTGTTCGCCTTAATCGCATAGCCTATAATGTAATCAAGCCCTTCAAGAGCATTCATGTAAGCTTCAAAGTTCCTGGTAATCTGATCCTTGCTATAGAGATAGAAAGGCCTCTTCTCGACGGCCTCCATTATTTCTTGGACCTTTAGTTTCTCACAGTACAAAAACCCATCTTCAGATTTGCTGAAGCAATGGTGGAACTTACGGTTTCTGGTCTTTATAGGTGAAGACACTTTGGGAAGATTCTCTGATAAGACAGCTTGAAGAGAGAGGCGTCTTCGTTGGGCTTTCGGGAGTGAGAAATGGGAGTAGAACGTTAGCTTTGTCGGATTTTGCAGGGGCTTAGAGAAAGAGAGAGAGTGGGGAGCAGAATGAGAGAGGTGAGAGGCTGCCATTGATGGAAAACTTGGAGCAGCAGCGACCTTATACCTTAAAACTCAGAGAGAGGCGAAAATGGAAGAGAGAGAGCTCAGAAGAGAGGTTTGAGAAGTGAGTGAGAGGTAGGCGGCGAGGCAGTAGCTGTAGGTTTTGAGGTTAATGACTCAAGTGAGAGGGCCAAGACTCAAGTGAGAGCATTTGCTCATGGGGAAAACAAAGAAGCCTGAGAAAAGGAAAAAGTTTTTAAAAGGTTGCAACGTTTTAGAATTTAGGTGCACCTAAAAAATCCCTTGGAAAAGATTGTTTTAATGAAAAATTAAGTATATGTCGGTTATATTTTTAGTTATTATCAAAATACTAAATACTTTTCAGTATTATTGGAATGTTTATTTTTTTTTCATTTCTTAATGAAATTTTTTTAAAAAAAAAATATGTTTATTTTTTTTCGGTTGTTGAACAACCGAAATGGCTGGAATTTCCATTGTTCAACAACCGAAATGTGCCTCATTTCGGTTCTTCAAAAACCAAGAATGGCCCCGACATTTTAACTATTAACGTTCTCTTCTCTGCGTCTCATGCTCTGTACTTTGTGCAAGTGAGTCTCAAAGCTACTCCTCTGTGTGTCTCAAAACCCACAGTCTCTCATCAAAAACCTAACCCTAACTTTTGATTAGATTAGAAGCTCATGTATCATCACAAAGCTTTGACGGCATTTCTCATATTTTGAAGGTTGTATGTATACAATGATTTGTGGGTCGAATTTATAAATTTAAGCTGTATAAGATTTTGATTTAGGGTTTATAATCAATCACACTAGTTCTTTCTTGTTAATTTCAATTAATTTGTGCGTTGATAATGTTTGTATAAGATTTTAGAAATTTGGGGTTTTTTAGAACTAGAAATTTGGAAGTTTTTTTAGAACTAAAAATTTATATACGAGGTTGCATTAAGTTATTATTATTTTTAGTGTCTGTAAGGAAATTTTGTGTATGTGGGGAAATTTTCAGAACTGTGATTGATCATGTCTGAGAGGTAACACATTTGCATAAATTGTTGATGTGTTGCTTTGATTCGAATGCTAGGCAAATTTTTCATTATATTGTATTGTGTAAATGCTGGGCAAAGTTTTTCATTATATTGTGTAAATGCTGGGCAAAGTTTTAAGAGTACATAGGAAATAAATAACTTTATGCTTTAATATTTTGGATATAATAATTCGTGACTAGATTTATTTGAGAGCTCATTCAATATATAAATTTGTGATCACCTATTTGGAGGTTTAATTTGTGACTTAAGATTGTTTCTGATTCTATATGTAAATGCATGATGAGTTATTGGTATCTTGATATTCATTCCTTTGTATTATCATGTTCTTTTCATAGAGCCGTGTTTGTTATTGTAATTGTTAGTAAAGACAGGAAAATGATAATAAGCCAAGTATGGGACTTGTATTAGAACCTATAGGTTGAGTTGACGAGCTCCATAACACTAGGTTACAGTATAAAATTGACCATCTTTTCCGTTTAATAATAGCATATCATTATTGTTTATGGGTTATTCCGTTAATTTTGCACATGTAACTTTATTACTAACATGATAACTATATGGGGTGTCAGTGAATATGAATCGTGTCCATCCAGGTGGGGGATACCCAAGAGGTCCTCAGGACCCAAGTTTGTTACAACTACATCCAGAACATTCATCATATTTCATATAGGAAGGACATGTATATGCATATATTAATTTGCTCTTTCCATTAGTTTGTTATTTTTCAATAAATTGTAGTCTGTTTAAACATGATACAAGAAATACATGTATATATATTGTGACTCATATGTAATTTATTTGTTGTATTCCAGGCAAAACAAGAAATTATAATAGATGAAAGGACTTTTCAATTAAACAATTGACATCTAACCAATGAGCAAGTTCAATTATTGAATGCGTCTAGGTTGGATGCTCTATCTATTATCCAGCCAGGTCGAATTGATCATCCTTTGGTTACAGCCAATGAAGATAGGTGGTGTTCTGAGACCAATTCACTTCATTACAGCATTCAAATTGATGAGACAACACCCACATTATTTGATGTTTACTAGTTATTGGTACTGGCCGTGGAAGGTGACCTTGTTATATGTCGTCCTATTAGTGACCTCCGAGAGTTCATAGAAAACAATTTAGGTATAGTCCCCACTAGAGGCAACTTGACAGTCATCAAGCACTCGTGGATGAAGGCCAACTTTCGCATATTGCCACCTGAACAGTGCAAGTTGTTAAATATACCCAAGCCTACCTTCTCTTCCTCATCAACTTCACCATTTTCGTAGATTCATTGGTTGCAATAGTGCCAACAAAGGTACTTACAATTCTTTGAGGATATTGAGGAAGTCGGAATATATGCTTGGGGTGCTGCAAGCCTCGCATATCTTTATCGTTCCCTTGAAAAAACTTGTACCTTCAAGCGAAGACATTATAGTGGTTTAGTCACTCTTATGCAGATAAATTATATTTTTATATCTGATATAAGCATAATAGTTTAGACAACTTTTCAAAAAAACATTACTTATCATATCTTGATATAATGCAATGCTGGTCTTATGAGCATAATATGCATATGAGGCCCATACTACACAGTATCTCTCCAAATATACCTAGGGCAAAAAGATGGGAGCCACCAAAGAATTATTATGGCAATCCACATAACATGATGCCTCCCATTGGACAAGAATTCGATAACCTCCAACCTAATGAGGTTAGTGTGTACTTTGATATTACAATATTTATTATTGATTAATTGTATTTAAGTATTTGTAGTTGTTTATTGACTGATTGTCGTATGTTTGATTTTATATCATATAACAGGTAATATGAAATCCCTATTTCAAACCTGATGACGCCATTTTAGATGATAGGCAGCAGGAATCATCATGATATTTGACGATATTGCCGAGCTGTATATGCCAAATCGTGTGTGCAGGCAGTTTGGAGCAAAACAGGGCATTCCAGGAAATCTCATATATATTGGTAAAAGGTCTAGTAGACAAAGTGGGCAGCGAGATTGGAGAAATGTAAATTCTAACAAGATCCATCTTTGGTTGCCTCGACATAAGCGCATGATGCCAGGCATTGAAGTAGATACTACCAATGGGTTGCCCTCAGAGGAGTACAAGGCCTGGTACAACCTAGTGTCTCATCCTATAATCTATAATATCGCTAACCCACCAAAAAACATATTATAACCTGTTAATTAGGAAGAAGAAGAGGTGGCTCCTGCACATGAACTACAATACATAATGAAACCTCGAGGTTATGAGGACTAGTTGGTATGTTTATCTTGACCTACGAATTATTTTAATTTTGTATTTACCTATTAGTTCTATGAAATTTTTTAAATATTATAATTACATATCTTGACTTTGCAGGTTAGTGCAGTTTAAGCTACTACAGTCATGTTAACAAAGGTACTTGCACTTAAACAAAAGTAGTATCCTGAAGTTTATAATCGCGTTAACAACGCATTTGAAATATTGTTTAAGTTCGTGCCTGTGGACATGGATGATGTAGAAGCCATGATGGAAAATTTACAACGCCAAGTTAATGACGAAGTTGAGCATGACAAGCCCAGACAGGATGTAGTGGGTGAAAGTAGTCGGGTTGTAAAAGACCTAACTCCATCCATACAACTTGCAGTTGAGGAGCCCAGAAAACATAATACACAAAAGAAGCGGTATCAACCCAAGAGAAGGCGGCCAATGTAATGGTTTTTTTGGCAATGTAATGGTTTTTTTTTTACCGTTGTAATGTTATCATATTGTAATAAACTCCCGAGCAATGTAATGGTTGGCAATATTTGAATGTTTTGAGTTTGTGTACATATATTTTAATTTTTTATTTACTTAATTAGGCTTAGGTGATTATGATGATGACGTAACTTTGAAAGGTTAATGTAATAGCTTAGATGATAATGATGATGATGGACAGATATACTGTTTTTTGTGTATAGTGTTTGTTTATTACCAGTGTAGAAACATTTGATTTATTTCAAAGTTTTCGTTGTTTTATTTTTGTAGTTGGGTCAGATTACTGTTTTTAGTGAACTATTTTTGCTTTTATTGTTAGGATTCATTGAAGTTTCTGGTGTATAGTGTTCACTTAGATGTTGAACAAGAGAATGCAAATTCCAAGCTTTTGGAATATGCAGTGGTATTTTCGGTTGTTCAACAACCGAAAATAAATAACCAAAAATATTGTATCACTGCATATTCCAGAAGCTTGCTGGATATTCCAACAAGCTTATGAAATATGCAGTGGGGTTTTTGGTTGTTCAACAATCGAAAATGTTAGATTTTTTATTGTTGAACAACTGAAAATACCACGACGTATGCCAGCAAGCTTTTAGAGTAGTATTTTCGGTTGTTGAACAACAGAAAATGTAGTGCGTATTCTAGAAGCTATGCAGTGGTATTTTTTGTTGTTGAACAACCGAAAATGTTTGAATTTTGGTTGTTAAACAACAGAAAATGCCATTGCATATTCTAGAAGCTTGCTGGAATGTGCAGTCCAAAAAATGCAACATTTGTTGTTGTTGAACAACTGAAAATAGCGAATTTTCGGTTGTTCAACAATCGAAAATATGAATGTTATAGTTTTTTAACACCATTATAAAATGGATTAGAAAATTACATATTTTTTGGAGTTTGTTATGTTTTCTATTACTTAGAATGAGACCATTGACCTTAGTACTTGGAAGGGCATGTCAGCTACAATTAGCACTAAAGTATGATCTCTACCTATTTTAACAAATATGTCACATTTTCTATCAAGTATAATGCATGTAATGATGGGTACATAACACCACGTACAAAAACACAAGATTGACAATACAGAATTCAAGATCTTCATTAATTCATCAAAATGATAATTCTATACAAAACATCTAAACAACATTATGAAATTATAATTCAGTCCCTAAGGGCTTATCAGTTCTCTGCAAGTCCTCCTATTATGACCCACTGCCCCACTGCACTTCTATTATGACCCACTCCTATTATGACCCACTGCACTTCTATGACCCACTACACTTCAAAGGTCTGGTGGTGGACTGTTCAGTTTCGAATATTTTTTTCGTTGCTTTTTCGGCCTACAAGGAAGTCATACTGTCCTTGGTGAATTGAACATACCAGTCAACTCAATATCATCCAGGACATGTCCAAAGGGAGTTTGAAAG